AGTAGATCAATTCAGGTAAGAATCTCCACTTTCTAAAGATTAAATCACAAAACACAGAGAAATATATAAATCACTCAATAGTAGGTTAAGGAAATACTACCACAACTACTTTTGGATCATTTATGTGTAATTGATATTTTCCATTGAATAATGTGATGCGGTCTGGCTGAATGTCCAAAATATAACGCCTCCATATTCTGAGAGTGAAGAGAGTCCTTCCTCACCTTCGAAGTGCTCACATATGGCCACGAATATATAGCCAGTTTGAGGGGAATCCTACTCATCGTCTTCTCGTGATGAGAGTATGTTTAATCAAATTGAAAGGATGGAAAGAGAGTGTTCGGCGCCTTAACCTAGTTGACGGGTACGTAGGATCTATCCAGGGGAGTTGAAAAACCCTAGTCCCAAACCAATAAATAGTGCACATGGGCTCCAGGATGCTGAGGGCACAACTGGCCTATGAAACTATTACTGGTGACCGGCAACTGTAGGACTACATCATACTACGTTGCTCCAGTGCTCTGAAGTCTAAACGCCTTGGCCAAAGGTTCGGGTGTGATCCCCCGAAAATCCAGCTGTTTCGATTTGTGAAGAGAGGCAATATACTACCCCACACACTAATTTCTTGATTTGTGTGGCGCATAAATATTTAGGTGCCCCTTTGTAATAAGGCATATTCTGAAATTATATCCAATTGAAAAGGAAGATAATATTACACGCTAAATAGAATTTCTTACCTCGGTAGTTTACTTCATAATATTCATCTGTATACTCATTTTTCATTTGTATTTTAAAACTGATGTTAAAAAAACGGTATGTGTGAACGCAGTGATCATCGTTACTTTTTGTTTCTTTTTATCTGAATTTTTCAAAACTTTGAATACTCTACTACTTTTCAATATTTATTTGTCCATACTATGAGGTGGTTAATCATTCATTTCTTCAATATTCAATAAAAGTACAATATCTAACATTTTTGAGCATTTTTCCATTCATTAAGTAGGTGAGTATTGCATTTAAATGCATGATTTTCACTTGGAATTTCCTTTTAAATCATTTTAATCCAGTTTCATTCGTCTTCTATGAACAATCCACTGTAGCCTATTACAACTTCCAGGATAGGAAAAGTAAATATAATGCAAATTAAAGCTGAAAATGAAATTTTCATTGAAATTATTGAACAATCATACCCATAAATATAGCGGTCACTAACAAAAGGAGTGGAATATTGTCCAAAAATGCTTGATACCTCATACACTTTGAACACTGAAAACGGGTACACTGCAAATTTACAGACATGGATCTTATCGATTATATTGATTCCTATTGATTTGAAGTTTGACGATTAAATCCTCCATTTGTGTAGGTGATTAGATTGAATCGTAAAATCCGAATTCTAATCACTCATGTATCTACTAATCTTACAGAGGTAAGCAGTAATAGATAGTTGTTCAAACTCACTCAATAGATTAAAGATAAAATAGGTTTTGTTAGTGTGACAGAACTTTTGTTCACTCTTAACTCAGGTGAATATAAAGGTAAGTAGAAGACTTCATACAACAGTTAAACGTACATCCATTTGTTCTCTAGTCATGTAATGTTCTTCAAAAGCCCTTAAGTAAGATAGTTATAAGTTTTTCGACATTTAACGAGTTTAAAGACGTTTAACCTAAAGTAAATCGAAAAGAAAGTGTAGGGCTAAAAATGCCATTTGTAGAGGTCGTTATAGATCGTAGCGTAATCTTATCAGTTAGAATAACAGAGATATTGAGTAGACACAAGAAGCTGGACGTCTTGTTATCTAAATGATTTCAAAGACTAGTCGTCCCATTTTTTAAAGGATAAAAACTCCTTTTCCTTGACCAAGAGGGAATAAGTTCGATGAACATGATGTCTAAAATAATAAGCTTCGTTATCGTCTGGAGCCGACATGGAAGTGGCAAACAACAGAATCAAGAATATCATAAATGTTTTAAACATGACCATAGATACATAGTAGAATATCCATCCAGTTGTACATAACAACCAACGATTGTCAGTTCCTTTGCCTAAAATTACCGTTCAACCTAGTAATTTAAATGGACACTATAGATTGACTCAGAACTTATGAGAAACTATCTCATAGATTGCTCATGTTGGATAATGTTTATCAGTACTGTCGAGATTCTTCATTGTTATACAATTTCGTACTACATTTGAGCCTAAAATCTCGTTTATCAACGTTCGATCTTTCATCGAGAGATTCACTTAACAACTTGGGGTACATAGATGACATAGTCTGTTGAAGACATTGACTAAATTTAGCTTGTTTAACAAACTAAGAAGTAATGAAAGAATACTTTGAGTGTTTCTCTACCTTAATATCCGACAATTAACTTTAGAATTGTTCTAGTTTAAAGACCGAATTTCCAACACGATTGTTAAGAGTACTTTAAAAATAACTCAATTGGGAAATCTTTCAAAGCCCAAGAGTATCTTAGTACAAATTCAAAACGTTTGCCCAGCTTTTGTTAACATAAAGCACTTGTGACCTTGGTCAAAAAAACATCGCATAATTTTTTACCAAAGGAAAACTTCTTACACATAACATTTCAAAAGATCTAAGAGCTGGACATCCACTTCAAAAATACAGAAGAACTGTTGTAATTACAAAAGCTGACAAATTCAGTCAACTGATAGTATTGAATAAAAAACATGATGTGTACAAGCTTTTGAACATTTATCGACAGATCCGTGACAACAGACTACTAATCCAGAAAACCTTTAAATGAAATTAGAGACATGTCAACATTTGAAAGAACTAATACCATTCATTGGAGTCTGTTTATGGTTTATTTTATAACCTAAATCATGCACTATATCTCAATTTTATAGGTTACCTAACATTTATAAAATCCAGACATCTTAATAAGACCTAAGTTTGGTTTGGAAATCATCCCTACACATATGTACTGCCTATATATCTGAGCTGCATACTGAGGTATCTTAGACACAAATTAAAAAAATTTGACAAAAGATTATTATGACTTCAAGTCAACAATATCAGAATTAATTATCAAAAAGGATAAAACCATTGTAAGCTATGATATTCTACACCAATATTTCGCTTGATAAATGCTTTATTAGTGATTTACTAGAGAATGATCATAACTTATCTGGCAAACATCCCTCAAGCATCAGTTTAATCATGAAATCCCTAAAACTATGCATATATTCAACCGCATTCACCTTCAACAGGACATTACACAAGCAAACAAACGAAGCGGTAGCGGAATCTCTCGAATATTCGATTGTAGTGAATCTGTTTATTTTGCATATTAGGATCAAATATTTGCACTAATGAAATTAGACCACGAATTTGGCTCAGATATACGGAAAGACTTATCAACAAACTTCTCAGCTGGTCAATACACTCTTGCCCCATATTAAATTCGCTTACGAAAATGAAAATTAAGTATTGTTTAGTTAGGAGAAATCCGAATGGAACTATGAATCTAACTGTCTACCAAAAACCAACACACCCTAATCATTATATTGACCTGAGTTTACGATACCCATTAAGCACAAAAATTTCCCTGGCTAATTCTTTTTAATAAAGTATACGAGACTATTACATGTAGAGAAAATCAGCAAAAGGAACGGAAGCATATAATTTACACCTAATAATTTAATTTTCTTAGAAAAAATATTAAAAATGTAATAGAACAAAACGATTTGTTGTTAAATAGTGGTTTGAATGGTACACCAGAGATACTGTATATTTACCAAAATTTTGATAGAATATTCCAACTACTTTAAACGTTTGTAAGTAGGCGTAAACTACAAGCAAAATAAACATGAGCACCAGATCACGACACACCTCTACATCAAAAATAACTCCCGGAAATTATAACAGAAATATTCCCAAATACCTTTTATTGATTAGTATTTAGTTTCTGATTAACATTTCAACAACTGAGATCACATAGCTTACGCCTGTTACTCTTAATGGAGCATAGGCCGCCGACCAGTATTCTTCATCAGATGACAGTCTCACTATATTCACGAAAAGATCAAACCACAATTATTCACTGTATTATCAGCTGCTTTGTGTCCCAACAAGTCCTGAGCAAAGTATCACTACATAATTGATATCCTTAATTCCATTTACTTTTTGATAGTTAATTTCCACGCCTTGTCTTTCCTTTCGTTAACTTCCCATCATTCCGCTGATATAAAATTTGGCCATTTAGATTATATAGTCAACTTGATTAAAGCTTATTAGAATAAATCAATTTCGTAGAAAAATAGATCAACATGCTCATAAATGCACCAGTTTATTCTGAGTAAATTAATATTTATTTTTATTTCTCATAAATAAAGTTGACTGCTACTGAATAGCGAGGACATAACTCTTCAAGTGCATATTCGTGAGCTTGGCTTTGAGCCACACCACAAGTGACGGTTAATGATACTAACCAAGTAAAAATAAACAGAGAGAGACTCGAAGCTGCTACTTAGTGGTTCAAAATCGAATGCCTTGAAACATAACCCATCGCTCGCATATCTTCGAAGTTAACTACTTGCTTATGAAAACAGAAAGATAAGAAGCATTTGACAAGTAAATATGATTAATAATTAACATAATTTCAGGTACATTTTTTACATTAATATTATAATTACAAGTTTCCACTTAGCTTTGAAAAAAATTTCATTAGAAAGTGAGTAAATCAGAGAGAAATGAATTCAGCATCATTATTTGCCATTTCAATACAACAGTGAACAATTATGACATAAGTGAAAAGATAGATCAGACTATCCTTATTTCAGTAGTATTGTAGTTTAATAGAAAAAACCCGATAATGAAAGATCTCACATATGTTTTACTTTGAAGGGACGGAGAGAAGAAAAGGAGACTTATAGCTTGTAATGAAACGAGGGGAAATAATGGTGAAGTAAATATGAAGCATCACAATTAAAAATAAGAAGTTTGTTTGATATATATATATATATATATATATATATATATATATATATATATATCATTGAGAAATTTTAACCTTTGTTTACGAGAATTTAACACGATGAAAATTACATAATGTTTTATGAACTAGTGAAAGGATTAGTTGGGAGTGTATATGTATGTATGCATGTATATTATTCTAGTTTAAATATTCTGAATGATAAAAAATATACTAGTAAAATTAATTTCAATATGAAATAGAATGTATTACATGTGAACTCTGTATGGATGATGAGGAGCGAGTCAGTAGGTAAAATTCTCAAGCAAATACATATTCATAATGTGATTAAATGAATTGCATAGATTCTGATTTCACATTACTCACAAACATGTAGAATTGCTAGAAATGTAACAACACCGCAATTAACCATTATCGATAATATATACGCAGAAATAACATTTTCAATAGCAATACATGTTGTCATCCATTAGATTATATTTACACACTGAATAAAATCCACACACAGCGAAAGCATCTAGAAAGTAGCTGTTGTTGCTGCCAGGTTGTGAGATATACATTGTGCAAGGAATGACACACAAGAGTTATAGTGTATTGTTGATACAATTGACGGCTATGCTTCAAATATTTCCATTTGTTTTCAGTATCAATGAAGACGGCAAGAGAAGGCGAACAACTGTTGCAAGGATAGATAAAGTACAAAAAAAGCATGAAAAATTATGATGATCATGTAAACAAAACAACATTGGAAAATATAATATATTTAATGAAACGACGATAATTCTGTTTGGCCAAGAGATACTGACGAAACAGCGTAAATTTTGTGGTAAGAGATGGCGTTGGATTTTTTCACAATAGACTTCAGAATAATATGCTTCAAAAACAATATGCATTTCCACGTAGAACTTGGTACGAACGTAAACCAGTTCCAGTTGCCATACCACATTAGCACAAAGAGATGGCATTGTCAGTTGAAATCCCATAGCAGTGTGGTGTGTGCTACTTATACGAACGATATAAGTAGTATAAGGAGGGGCGTGAAAGAAGAAGTCTCACGATCAGAAGAGGAAAACGGAAAGCAAATGGAGCAAAAGCAAGAAGAAAATGGAGTACCAACAGGAAGGAAAGGAAGCAACAACAGGAATGGAAGAAGGATGGAGTGTTGGAAGTCACGACTCAAAGATGGTGTGTAAATAGAGTATTCAATGTAATGTTTTCGTTTTTAACTGACTTAGAGTGTAAATTTGCATAATACAATCTTCCTCGCCTGCCTCAGTCTTCTCAGTAGTACAGGTGGTAAAAGTATTAACGGTAATCGAAAAGATTAGAGTTCAAAAGTATGATTCGAAAAAGTGCAATTCAGTGAGGTAAATTCAAAAAGAGAAAATACGGCGTAGAGTAGAATTTGAGAAAAGACAAAGATGGATGTATCTGCGCCATTGCAAACGATTTTAAACCATGTCATTTAAGGTCTCTAACCACCGGTTACGATTGTCTTGCAGACCCCAACCAGGTATTCTACACCTAGTAACAAAGCTCAGTCCAGTTGTCAATGCCTTCGTGTATTCGAAACATCACTATGGTGAATATTAGCTTTTTACATCACTTATTTCCTTTGGAAACTATAGTATTCTGTTGTTAGGTAGCAATGCTTCGAAGACACCTATGATCGAAGACTAGTAACCTACGAATATCTTCTACTCTCACTGGCCATGTTTCACAGCCATAAAGTAGGACGGAGTGAACTACTGCACAGTACACTCGTCCTTTAGTCAGCAAACGGATATCTCGCCCACGCCATAAGTGACGCAGGTTGGCAAAAGCCAATCGAGCCTTCTGTATCCGTGCTGAGATTTCGTCAGTCACCAGGCCATCAACATTGATAAGACTCCCGAGGCAAGTGAAGCGGTCAACATGCTCAACTGCCTCACTCCCTATCACTAGTTCAGGTGCCGATGAAACCCAATCTTGAAGCAACATTTTGCATTTCGAGGGTGAAAACCGCATCCCGAACATGCTTGCACTGTTGCTTAGGGTAGTCAGAAGGGTGGTGTTCGAGTAGGGAGCTTGTATGAGGTTAATGTATTTCTTTGGTACACCTTTCAATGACAGACATTGCCACAGAACCTCACGATCAACAGAGTCAAATACCCCCTTTAGGTCCAGGAAAAAAACTATTGTAGGACGCCTAAATGTGTGTCTGTGTTCCAGGACCTGTCGTAGTGTGAAAATGTGGTCTATACAACCACGTCCAGGTCGAAAACCAGCCTGAAGTCAACAGTAGTCAGATGCAACGTAGAACTTCGTACCTAAGTACATCAGTTCATGTCGCCATACCACATCAGCACAGAGATGCAATTGTCAATTCAAATGCTTAGGGTGGTCAGAAGACTCTGCATTTTGTCAGCGTCTTCACCAAGTAGGACAATGTCATCGGCATATTCTAAGTCGATAAGGGAGCCTCCTGGTAATAGGTCTAATCCTGAAAATTCAGACGAGGATAAGGTTATTTCTAGGAGCATGTCTACGATAAAATTAAACAAGAATGGCGAAAGTGGACATCCCTGACGGATACCACTTGAAATAGAGAATTCCGATGACATTTCGCCATAGGCTCTCACTCGACCTGTAGAGAGCTTATTTCTTTGGTGCACCTTTCAATGACAGACATTGCCACAGAACCTCACGATCAACAGAGTCAAATGCCGCCTTAAGGTCCAGGAAAACAACTATTGTAGGACGCCTAAATGTGTGTCTGTGTTCCAGGTCCTGTCGTAGTGTGAAAATGTGATCTATACAACCACGTCCAGATTGAAAACCAGCCTGGTTTTCTCGAGTCTGCTCTTCACGAGTTTTCGTTAAGCGTCGAAGTATTATTGAGGCCAATATTTTAGATACTATATTAGTTAGACTTATTCCTCTGTGATTGTCACAAGAACGCTTTTGTCCTCTCTTATAGATTAGGACAATCAAGGATCGAGACCAGTCGGATGGGATTACGTCCAGTCCCCAGATTCTACCTAAGATCTCAGTCAACCTAGCGGCTAAAACTTGACCACCATCCTTAAATATCTCAGGGGTCAGTCTCTCAAGACCTTCAAATTTCCTAACGCTTTCTCAACTTCGTAAAGCCTGGGGGACTTACGTCGATTTACCATTCAGAATGACTGGAGATCGTGGGTAATCGAAGAGTGGCTCGAGGCCAGTTGAATTGATCCCTAAAGTGTTCTGCCCATCGATCCAGTCTCCTGGATTGAGAATAAATAATAGACCCATCATTTTCCGAGGTAGTTTGATTCACATTCGGGTTCCTAACACCGGTTTCCTTGATGAGTCTGAATAGTTGCCTACTGTTGCCTATCGCCGCTGCCTTTTACATCGCTTTTGCTTTCGCCACCCACCACTGTTCACGGTCGTTGCGCAGGCTTTATATCAGCCTGAGCCCAAGCTGACTCCGCTCCTCATCGTACTCAGAGCCAGGCGGCATGGGCTGCTGCGACGAGCTATGTTTTGTGGTGTAGGAGTAGATTGGAAGAAAGCTAGGGGCGGCCAAACCAAAACATGGCATAAATCCATGAAGTCACTGACAAGTGGACTGAGTCATGTCGGTAGATGTCGGCTACCTGGTTTGGGTCCGCGAGACGATAGTAATCGATGGTTAGAGACCTTCAATGACATAGCTCAGAATCGTTTGCAGTGGCGCAGGTGCATCCACTGTTTGTGTTCTATGAAATTCTAAGCTTCTGCATTCCTCATAATCTCTACCTTTCTCCTTCTAAGTTTATCTTACTGAATTGTACTTCTCGAATCATATTTTCTCTCCCTAATCTTCTCCATTACTGCTAATACTTCTATTATTGCTATCACTCTTGGATTTGAACTGACAGTTGCGTCTCTTTGCTGATGGGGCATGGCAACCTGAACTGATGTACGTACGTACGAAGTTCTGCGTTGTATGTTTGTCTCTGTCAGTCATGTTGGTAGGATGCAGATTACTTGGTTGGGGCCGGTGAAACGACAGTAACCGATGTTTAGAGACCTTGAATGACAAGGCTTAAAACCGTTCGCAATGGCGCAGGTGCATTCACTCTTTGTGTTCTCTCAAATTCTAATCTTCAGAATTCCTCATCATTTCTATGTTTCTGTTTCTTAAGTCATCTCACCAAATTATACTTCTTGAATAATATCTTCGAACCCTAATCTTCGGCATTACCGCTAATACATCTACTATCTCTGCCACTACGGGATTTTAATTGACAGTTGCGTCTCTGTGCTAATGAGGAATGACAACCTGAACTGATGTACGCACGTAGGGAGTTCTACGTTGTAACTGACTGACTGACCGACTAACAAAATAAATCTATATCTTAATATCTTGATATTTCATGTAATCTGGAAACCAATGAGTTTTGAAAATTTCAATTTACCAATAAACCATATATGAAGTTGGTAAAAAGTAGGTTCACATATTGCTCTGTTGGGAGGTTCACATTATGCCAAGAGCTGATAACATCCATATATATATACAGAGTGATCTTATAGCAGTCTTAGTCTGTGATCATGAATCCTATTTAAAATATCAATCCTTCTACTTAAACGAAACTTATAGTCATGGTTTTTTACTTGAGGATGTAAGCTTCAAAGCTGGAAGGGGAATTATCTCTAAGAAATGTAAACGGAAAATAAAAGTCTGAGTAAAAATAATTACAATACGCTTACCTATAGTCTGTGTTTATACACTGTCTGCAACACCTAGTTTACTCAAAGAATCTTGTTCGAAGCGTCTTTGAGCCTCTTGTTGTCGTTGATAATGTTGTTGAAGCTGTTGTAATCGAGAAGTTGGTCCTGGCGTCAAACGTAAAGTTGGTGGCAGTATAGGTGGGGGATTAGAGGGATTCGGAGAAGAGTGAGTTTGAGAGCTGGCTGAAGTAGGGAAAACGGACTGAGATATTTTGAGAGATACACTGTCTGAAGGAGAACGGTGATTAGAACTACTGACAGCTCGTTTACCTAGCTGCCATGTTCCACGACTCTGGTGTGCTGGCTGATTCCAAAGTGGAGTCCCGCTTCCAGAAGTACAGCTCGAAGTACTAACAACAGTAGACACAGAAAACGATAAATGGCTTGCTGTAGTAAATGTTGTAACAACACTGGTGGAGCGCGAATCATCACGTTCTAGCAAGCTTTTGAGCAACTGGGATGCTGGATTAGTCGCTAATACTGATTGGTTTGAGTTAGCAAGCGCTAGAGAAGTAGCACACAAGTTGCGTCGAATGGGAATCGATGAACCATCATCAGTTAGATTTGATGAGCCGATGTCCATGATATAAGTTCTATTACTTGCTACTTCACAAGGTAAAATAGTATTAGCTCCAAGTGAACCGGGTCTATATATGCCAAAACTACTACTGGGTACTGAAAATTTGCCTAGTCCTGCGGTGTTCGTATTGAATGGAGATATGCTGAATCCTGGTGCAGTTGGAAGCATGATTGGTCTATCTGATTTTGGTAAAATTTTCCTAAAAGAGTGGTACTTGTGAACAACTGTTCTTTTAGGTGGGCCTGAGCATATAGACGCATTTGTAGAGGATTGAACAGTGGTCATAATAGGAATTCCACCCGAACCAGAAAAAATCGAAGGTATAGACGAAGAAATGTAGGGTTTGCCTGACAGTAAAAAGTGATCACCAATACTTTCAATAGTTGTCGCTCGTGGTGAGGAAACGCCTTGACTAACATTACGACTACCTGAAACAGAAAAAAATAAGATCAGATCAATGTACAGGCTCTCACAGATGTGATTTAGTCCGTGTTTCCATACCATATTAGTAAAACGAGGTGAAATTAACAAGATATATGATAACGGAACCGAAGATTGTATCGATAACAATGAGAAAGACTAGGCATCCAGAATATGGTTTAGAAATACGCAGTGGAAAGGTGTTTCTGTGAAAATACTAGAGTTCAAGGTCAAGAGGAAGAGGAAGAGTGAATATATCTGTGCTATTGTGAGTGATCCTGAACTGTCTACAACCAATGATCACAATTGTCGTGAACCCGAACAACAAAGTCTGCTTCTATCAGTATAACTCACATGGATTAACGCCATGTATTGGTTTGGCAGCAGCTGCCTTTCTACCAGCTTGCTTCTCTGTTCAGGTAGGTGGTGATTGAGCACGCGTAGAGACAATAAGAGATATTTCTTGTGAAAAATAGAGAACTACACTAAATACCCTGTACAACTTTTCATATACAGCACTTTCGAATTGAGTAAGCAGACCAACTGTTATACCGACGGTTAACTACAAATAAAAGTATGCAATTTTCGTTTTATCGAAACAATTCCTTGAACAACACTTCACCAATTTGAGTTAGAAATAAGATGAGAGGTATAATCAGATTCATAGTTCCCAGTTACAATCAGTTAGGTAGATAGAAATATATATTTTCCTTTTTACTTACGAATCACAAAAGTAAGAACTACGTTACAGTGAACCTTTAAAATAATACAAGCTATACAAAAAATATCATTATTCAACACAGAGAAATAACCCTTAAAATTGTGATAAAAATTTTTCATCTAACCGATATGACATTTAATTACTTATTATACCATAACAATCTATGAACTGACAGTACTGATGTAGTCATGCCCATATGCAGCACACTACCTCAATATTGCCCACTTATCACATAACCTTGATAAGTTATATTACTTTAATGGTCACGTTTTTAGGTCGTGTGGTAGAAAATAGTAGACTAGTAGTTCGCATACAGGACACATGATGAACGAAAATACACGTAACTTAACCTACAGATCGAGTAGTTTAAAAATCTCTAACAAGACTGTTAACATGCTTTAACGAATGTTAGTAGGAATCATTGCCTAAGCATCATCCAATGACGTACATAAACAAATAACGATATATAGGGTTTTGTTCAAAGCCTTTTTCTGGATAGAACCAAAACTACCCCTATCTATGTCAATTAGAGAGCTATCAAGTGAAATATAAAAGAAGAAGGTACTACCAAAAGGGTGGATATATAAAAGCTAAATCGAGGTGAGGAGTGGACATCTTAACGAACCAATGTAGCTCATCAAGTACAAGTTTACGTACTAAGATTTAAGTAGGACTGTGTGACGGCTGGTGATACTAACCGGTTACCTAAACCAGGGTAAGTAAAGTCGGAATCGAAAATGTTATCTTAAACTTGTAGTCAATCTGAACATAAATATTAAAATTTACAGGAATAGTAACAAAATTTCAACTTCTTAGATGTTGAATCATTTACAGATTTCAGCGTTTTAAATTCGCAGACCAAATAAAGTAGCACTAATGGTTCCCAGACAATGGCGTTTTTGTTATTTTGTATGATCATTATGGAATAAAATAATATTATACCACTGATTTACTGGCTACTAAACGTACCTGTATTTTGGTCTGTATCCGGAAAACAACGAACTGTAGCAGGTGCTAAAGGATTAAAACATTGGGATGGCACTCTCATGCTGCTAGTAAATGTTGGATTAAAGGCAGAACGCCCAACTGGCCAATTTATGCGAGGTGTTCTCACTAGTGTAGGATAGTGAGCATTCATAAGAGGAAGACCTTGTGATTCTGAAGATATCGTTGTTGGTACAGTGGATAATGCGCTGTTATCGTAAAAACGATTTGAAGTTAACTTATGAGATGGTACAGAAGTAGATTGAAATGAAGTTGCAACAGGAGGTTCATACACTTTCGAAACGTTTTTGAGCTCGAAATCTTCCATATCATCATCGTCATCATCATCTATTTCGAGTTTCGGGTTGCTTTTATGGACAGTGTCTTGATTAAAATGGACGGGGAATGGTCGGAATTCTGAATTAACCCCGGCGGTGCTTGACAATACTGACGAGTTATAATTTATGGATTGCTGAGATTGTTGAAGCTGGGAAGTTTGTGAGCATTGTGTGAGATTTGCTTCTGATTCGAGTGACTACAAAAATCACAATTTTTTCGGCAGATAAAGTGCAGTTAAGACGGAATAAGTTGATAAATAACAATAATACGTTGTAAACAAATAACAAACTGAAAAACAAATGAACGAAGGACGTACCTTTCCAAGAGACTCCGTAAGATTCGACAACAGCTATTTTTGTTGATCATAACAAGAAGCTAGATTAATAAAGGCAGCCATTAACAAGGTATTGAAAAACTTCATCAATTCAACCACCGATATCCGTTTGAGCGCTTATGTACTGTAGTAACTACATGTTGCACTCCTAAAAATGCCTTATCACCTACGACAAGAGCTACTAATGAGATGCTAGGTAGTTAGAACTGGTGATCTTTGTCACATATAATACAATAATCTGTACTAAGAGAAAGCACACAATCCACGGCTTAAGAGTTGGCCGAAGTTGAATTAAAGATTACGTCTAAAATAGCGTCAAAGAACTGTAACCTTAAAAATAGTATGCAGAGTAACCAAACAACAATGACATCATAGTATTCGCAGTAAAGATTTGACAATTCACTACATGAGGCATAAAACCTATCATATAAAAACCAGTTGACTAATGCAGTAATTATCTAAATCTTATTATTCACTATAACCAGAAGCTCTGACTTCCTACGTTAGATAAACGTAAATCACATCGCTAGTAAATGAATCACAAAGGATTTAAGAACATAAATATATATGTAGTAACATAAAATGAATGTCAGAAGGATTTCACTACATAAGACGAGATATTAATAACTTAAAAATATGTCTATAGAAATGCCTACCTGTGACTGATTTTGGGAATGAGTGGGTATATATATAGGAGACTGGACCTGTGATGGTGTATGAGAAGTGCAGTGCGGAGATTTGGAGTCTCTTCGTTGTATTGGTCGCCCAACCTCATCATGAAGACGTTTCAGTTTAAGCAGTTGACTTGCACTAAGTGATGTAGCTGGTGTTTGGGAATCATCCAAACCCGAAATAGACTCTTCGTCGTTGGTAGAATTTGAGGTAACAGAAATGTATGAACTGGTAGTACTGGCTACGCTGTATGGAGTGCTACCTAAAGGGCATATATCCGTACCGGATGTTGTTATAGGATTTGCACTGTTTTTTATATCAGTCTCACTAGAAATCACATCTGACGGCTGAAAAAAAAACAGAAATAAGACTAGTAGTTCTGAAAGCATTCAAAGCAACCAAAAGAATTCACACTTAGTGACTGCAGAACAGGTCAAAATGAGAACTTGAACTAAATTTGTCGAGTAGCGATAAACTACCCAGGAAAATTTTCAAATCACGGTAATCAATAATGACTAGGAGCACTGAAGTGACGAGCTGGCAGTGGTTTAAGTATACGAACCATACGAAACTAACAAGCGTTGTAAAGTGTCTCCCATAATATGTCCGGATCATGATAATCTAACCCAACCTCTTATAAATTGTTTCAACAGTTAACCTCACACTAATTATCAACCACATAGCTTGTTTACTCAAGTGTCTGGTGCATTTTTAAGCGTCATCAATATGCCGTCGTATACTATTTGATCTATTCAACCTGAAACTTTATAGGAACCTAATGATAAAATCTTGTCGATTTAACTATGAAAGAAATCGATAATAATAACATCACAAGGTAATTAGGAGTCTTCGCATCTCTGACCTCTGTCACTATCGAAACAAATAACTGGAAATTTACATTAGTCAGAAAGGAGTAAACCGTAGATTCAACTTCCTTAGACAATAGTAACTTTTTAATGTAGTAGTCGATAAAAAACGAATAATCAAACGCACTGGCCCACTGCAAAATTACAAATACAACAGCAATCATCTCAGATGTCTAACAAGGAACGAATAATATTACGTGCTAAGAAACACATTCCATAATACAATAAAATTATCCTACGAATATACATGGAAAAATATCTAGGAGGAAACACACTTCACTTACGAAATCTTTTACATCAATTTCCACAGTTTTAGTAATGGGATCACTGGCATCGGTTGAATTTGCTTTAGAGACATTCTGTTCACAGTAATCTTCAGCACTAATACGTTCAACAGTTACAGACTTTGATAGGTAATCTGTATGTGTATCTCCATGATTAGAGGTGTCAACTGATATACTTGCCTCCGGCTGATTAAGAGTGTCATGAAGTGAAGTTGTGATATCGGAATTCTGCATTTTCACTTTGGTTACAGTTTGTGGATCACTAATAACCGAAGGTATAACAGTCAAAGGAGGAACATTTAGTTTCGATTGATCAATATTCGATACAGGAGTTTGCACGATGCCTAACGATGTTGCAGTAGCTTGTAAACGTCTAAGTTGGGTTGCTGCAGAATAAATGGGTACTGACTGAGCGTCATGGAAAACAACAGTTGGTGCGGATGAATTCAGACCAATTGAACTGCTTGATGTGGAACAAGATACAGAGCTAACGATAGCATTAGTCGCCAAATTGCTCGTCAGAGAATTGGTGGATGTAACTGTCATGCTAACACTTGGGCCACCGAGTGCATTAGTAGGAATGGCAGGAAGTCTTTTGCGATTAAGTATTTTTGGTATGGTAAGGCTACCAGTATACACCTTGCGAATAACTTTGCGTGGACTATGACGGCGAAATGGCATATTTTGAACGGCACCAACAACATAAATGTTAGCTTCACGTTTAAAAACTCCATGACTGGAATTATTTGAGGTAAGATTTGAAGAGTTACCCATATGAATGGTCGGCGAATCTTCAGAAATCGCATGATTAAGTTCATCTTCCTTTATTGACGAGACGCGAGACAAGACTGTTGGGCGTTTATGTACATCTGTATGACCAGTTGTGTAATTATGTTCGAGTGGTAGACAAGAGCGATGAGTTTCTATCTTAGTTGAGCCAGACGACGAGTTGACTTGTAAATGTCGAAGTGAGAGTTTATCAAGAGATCCAAGAACAGAACATGAATGTCCCGGTTTGCCATCAGCACTGTATAGAGCACGTTGATTGACTTTTCTGCTGGCATATAATTTTTCGAAGTGTTTAAATTGGTGAGTTTCCAACTCCTCACAGTCAGAATGGAACTCTCGTACACAATTTGTAGAGCGGTGAATTAGTAAACCTGAATCACTGTGATATCCAGCAGGCAATGAAAAATCATTTGGGTCTTTATGATGATGGGATTTACCTACATAGTGTGAGTGCGATGAATATGAATGTCTTGAGGCTAAACAAGAGATTCTCCTTGGACGATTATGACTTTTGACTTTTTTCCAAACATTCTGGTCGCAGACAGACAAAGAGCGATAACTTGAGGCTCTCTCATGAGAATCTAATTTTGAACGGAATAATGAATTAGAACAGCGTGTACGTTTCGTGTTTGCTTCATTTTCAGAAGAGAAAGTAAGAACAATATTATATTCAGCATCATTGTTAGCATTTTGTCGGAGAGCAAGAGACTGGATAAAAAAACCTGTACGGCTCATGCGTTGTGTGAGAATATTCAATTCCTCAGCATGAAGTTGTTTAATATGAATTTCATCATCATTTTGTGATACACTACAATTTAGCCCAAGCACTAAACGATCGAGCAAAGTGAGTTGGCACATTCTATCTGGTCGTCGAGGGATACGATGACGAGACCCGTGAGCATGACTTGGTTCTGGCAATACAATTCGGCGGCTATTCAACTTAGAGCCTGTATGCATACGCCGAGAAATCAATGAACGCTCTGGTTTTCGTGTTGGACGAGACTCTAAACTGTTATGACAACGGTAACTTGATCCTGTCCGTTCACGATGTCCAGCTTTAGGAGGACGGTGATGGTACCACCTTGCTTGGCGAAAAGACCTTCCATAAGCATCCACTACACCAGACTTAGATGTTGAAGAAGAAGCAGAAGAATCATCACGCAAATACGTTTTATCTGAATACCAATTTTCTTCTCTTTGGGAAGTCAAGAAACGTTCATTAGGACGTTTTCTTTGGAATGTGATAGCACGGCGTTTTCTGCGCCGCCTTTCAAGACATCGATCATCAGATAATTGTATAGACTTATTATGATCCATATTGAACTTCTCAACAACGTTAGGACAACTACTTTGAAGATGAGTTCTGTTTTCTGACTTCAGTTGAGTTTGGTTTCCTGAGTCTGTCTTGCGAATATCATAAGAATCCTTTGAATCATCTTGTTCCAGATTACAGGGGCTGTTATCAAGTGACCTTATGTGTGAAAAATTATCATCATTTTCCACCCGACCTTTCGAAGTAAAATTTGATGGGCGTCGGCGACGCTGGAAACTGTTACTGAGACCTGTGACATCATTCTGCTTACTCGAGGAAACATAACAAAACTTCCAATCAATATGGTGGCTTACATCTGGATGACGACTAGTTCTAGATGATAGAGAAACATTTATTTTAGGAGTGCGATGTGCTGACCGACCTGCTTTTGAGTCCAGACACAATTCATCTACATATCCAGTACTTTGAGACCTAATAGGAGTAATCTGAAGGCTACTCTGAACATGTGATTTAGCTCGAATAAGCTTCTTAGCAGCAGTTAATCTTGCTGCTGATACAATACTCGAACGTGTGGACTGATGTCGAGTCTTCTCATTGTTGTGAATACTATCAAGTGAGATGATGCCATCAACGCGGGAATGATGACTACTTTGGGATATCATATCAGAGTATCGTCTTGGACGAGGATTAGGGCGTAAACGACCCATCAAATTTCGACTCAATTGCTTACTTCGATCCTCCCGTCGTCTGCGCCATACTTCACAAACACCTGGGCGCAACAGACCACTCATAGCCAAAAATAAATCTTTTGAAGCGAGGTCATCATTCAATCTGTTTTCTTTGCAAATGGAATCGAAAATTTTTTCCACAGAAGGGGAATTAAAGCTCATTATAAATTGACCTTCGTCTACTTTGCCAGGCGGGGTAAGAGGTTTTTGACGACTTTTTCTAATACGTTTGACAGGTAACTTTACAGAACCATATTCATTTACTTCATTCAGTACTTCTTGGAGAACATCATCTGTGGCACCAAAACGAAGTAAGACAGGTGAACCTGTACATGATGTACGCACTACGTTAAGACTTGAAAACTCCCGCTCTTTAGTAATCTCTGTGTATGAATGACGTGAGTCATTGGATGAACAAAATGATTCTTGGGTTTCTCCTTGTGTGATTTCTTTGCTCTCAGATTTTATGAAAGCAGCGGCTTTAGGAACCACTGTAGAACACGATTTAAGAGGCCTTCCACGCCGCCGTTTCGCTGGTAAAGGTGAGTTATTAAAGACTTGGTTCGAATCCTCTTTTTTTACGGCTGTCTCTAATTTGTTGTCGTCAGATCTGTAACTGCCTTCATTTGGTTTGTCGGGCTTTAATGCATTGTTTGGGTCTACACATCCAATAACAGAAGCATTGCGAACTGGAGAATCAGATTTTTTAGGGATGCAACTTTGAACAGCAATCCTATTATCTGTAAAATCTGCTGACTCCCTAACTAGGTTAGCTCCGGTGTCACAAACAGATCTAGAAAGACCTCTGGAGAACCGTGGACGTCCTCTTTTAGCTCCCCTACTAAATGATTTAGCTGGTGAGTTACAGGTATCAACTTTTGACTTGACCTCAATATCAGGTTTGAAAAGATCAATTTTGGGTTTATCTTCCACTTTCATGTTGCCTGTATGGGACCTCAGAGCTGAACCGTTATTGATAGCAGGAAACGAATCACAATTTTTACTTTTGGTCCGCGTGGCATACACTGTAGGAATCAAAGGATCAGGTGACAAACTGCAAGTTTTGGAATCAAAGTGTACTGTACGATGCAAACGACCACTTCCACGAAGACTCCGACCACCGCGCTTACGAATCCTCGGTCTTCCCAGGTTGCCCCCAACGGTTTGTGTAACTTCAGACGACCAATGTGTTCTTGGCTGACCCCTTAAAAACAAGTTGCTAGAGCGACCCCGTCTTGAGTCGAAGCACTTAAGATCAACAACACTTTTATGTCTGCCATGTTTGGGGCCTAATCCTAGAGATGATACAATGGATCTCTTCTGACCTCTATTTCTGAAATAAAACAAGGATAATTGTGAAATTAATACACACATAAAGAAAATATTCATTATCAGTCTTTGATTTTTAAAGTAGTTTGGGAAAATTTATAATTATATATGTAGATCATAGACAGTTATCAATCATTTTATTCGAGTCTGCGTACAGTTGTGAAGTGATATTTTTTATGCCAGTGGCGAAAACGCAAAATAATGATCTGCTACATTTTTTTGTTTGAGCTCTTCATTGTATACTGATAAATGTGCACAACTGTGTTGACAATAACACCAGTACATATATATGGAGATTTCTTAATTTTAAACATCTCAAAACGAAAAATGTAAAGATGCAACACAACTAATGGTACTATGAGAAGAATACTCACCTGGTCCGCATTCGAAGTAGGAAACAATGACCTAAAAACAGACAATAAATTTACACAGTAGTAACTGGAGAAACTCGCGAGCATAAAATGTAAAATAAATCCGCTAAGTAGAAAACCTAAAACTAACAGTAGGGATGAAGAAATAGATTTGATAGGAGCCAAACTAACTGCAAGTTTATTTCAATCTTAACTGAAAAATCTACATATATAGCTATATCAAAAAATAATTCTAGGTTAACGAAAATCGAATTGGACGTGTATTTTGTCCAAGATAGCAACTTACGATTGAAAGATTTTTGAAAAACAAGAATTTGACCGATATAGCTATTTTGAATACACGCAACACAGTAGCAGAACCGAAACCAAAATAAGCTGCGCGGGTCTTGACCGACCTACTGTCCAATCATAGGGATTGGCAGGCGTTCCAGCATAGAGCCAATTGAATGATTATAACAAGACTAATAAAACTATTTCCCCTGAAAATAGCACTAACGTCGTCGAACTACATTGAAAAAGTCTTAGGATAACTATTTTGCTGACTTCCGAAAAACTTATTACTCGACCTATTTGATACATATCCAACTGCCTCAGGGAAGATCGATTCGCTGCAAAATCGCTTGTTACATTGAAGGGTACAGAAATTTGTGGTACATTTAAAATGCTCAAATCCATGTTTCATATCTAGGTCAGCTCTAGAAGGGATACAAAGAAGCAATACAACAGAAAAGAAAATTATCACTAAACCACTTCTTATATAGGATAATATAATGAATACAAAATACCTATAGACACATAAATGAGAATAACATCATATTTTATGTGAGTGATTTGTGTGGAATAACTTAAATCACAGGAATTACGGTTTTACAGAAGACTACGTTCCGTGAAATGGTCTTCGCTAATGTAATCGTGTGATGAGCTGAAAAACTACCATATTCATGAACCAGAAGGCCATACAGATTTTCTGACATTATTATACATTTTCATTACTACTGAAAATTTAGGAAACATTGGTTGAATGTGAAAATGAGAAAGTGAACATGTATGACTCTCAAATAACTTGCGGATACATTGAAACAAAACGTAAATATTATTCGTGGACGATGGCTTTTTTAGTTCTCCTTGTATATGGTTCATCCACATAGTTTGTCGGTCGCTAACTATCCAATCGTCATACAAGTTTTTGGCCCTATATCCGTTTGATCTTATATGTAATTATTTCAGTAACCCCATGAAGTCAAAGATGTATTTTAAATATTGTAAACACATAACAGCCCTAAATTCTCGTCATATATCCTGAAGGTGTCGCGAATGTTTGGTATTTGACAAACATGCCGGCCAAACATCCCAACGCCACTCAAGCTGGAAGTTGGAAATCGAAGGGTTAAAAGAAAAATTTGGAAGATAGTTTATACCTCTAAATGCATTTGATCAAAGCCAACTTGTAAAAGTTATGTAGCACGGTGTACCCAGTCATGATGCAGATGTTTGACAGAGCATATTCAGCTTGGGATGCGTCAGTTATAACTTGCAAAGTCATTTCCAAATTAGATGACTCACAGAACTATATATTTGTATAATTAACTTACCTCCACAATCAAGTTTTCTGACTAAATCACATTCATGGTCACAGCCTAGAGATCTATTGAGATATAAACAGTCTCAAATATATTCGTGATTCTTAAGATTATTTGTTGAGAACACAGATTCGTCAGGGCTACTTTCGTAACAAATGACACTCCAGGGTGGTGAGTTATTACTTCCATAACCCATGATATACTGTCATATCGATCATTACTTCCGTTTAACACACTATGATTCTCTCATAAAAGTTCATTCGCATAATATTTTAGACTGAAGTCAAGCACATAACAGCCAGTTGCATGACAAAGTAGTGGAAAATGGAGAAAGTTCAGAGATTCTTTCACATCATGAGCAAAGGCGATAAATTCCGATATTATTGAATAAGAGTAATTTTATATTAATGTCAAAATGGGAAAATCAGGGATCACATAGGTAATGACCACCTATTTGAATAAAATTTTTATATATATACTCTCTAAGTCAGCAGGACCAGACAACATTCCAGCAGAGGCAATGAAAGCAGACGTGGAAGCAACTGCAAAAATATTTCACATCCTCTTCAACAAGATTTGGGATGAGGAACAAGTACTATCAGATTGAAAAGAAGGATACCTCATCAAAATACCAAATAAAAGCAGTCTCAGTAAGTGTGAGAACTACAGAGGCATCACTCTTCTCCTAATACCAAGCAAAGTCGTCAATAGGGTATTGTTAAACAGAATGAAGAACTTCGTAGGCGCCCAACTTCGAGATCAACAGACTGGATTTCTTAAGGATTGATCATGTACCGACCAAATTGCAACATTACGGACAATTTTGGAACGATCAGTTTAATGGAACTCACTACTCTACACCAACTTCATTGACTACGAGAAAGTACTTGATAGCATGAATAGGAAAACACTATGGAGGCTTCTTCGACACTACGGCATGCCTGAGAAGATGATCAACACGATGCGGAGTTCTTACGATGGATTAAACTGCAACATCGTGCACGGAGGTCAGCTGTCAGATTCGTTCGAGATTGCTTATTCTCACCTTTTTCTTTCTCCTGGTGATCGACTCGATTATGAAGACGCCAACATCTGGAAAGAAGAACGGTATACAATGGACAGACAGGATGCACCTGGATGATCTAAACCTCTTAGAATAACTGGCTCTCCCATCGCAGACGCAATAACAAATGCATGAGAAGACGATCAGTGTAGCAATAGCCTTAGCAACAATTAAACATCTGGAACTCTAAACAAATGTCAACGAACACCAAAGTCACAACTTTCAATACAAATGTCAAGACAGTTAACTCTATGGGGCGGAAACTTGGAGAACTACCGAAGCCATCATCCAGATAATTCAAGTACTGTCTGACAGTTTTTTAAGTAAAATACTTCGGATTCGTAGGCCAGACACCATCAGCAACCACCTTCTGTGGCAGAGGACAAACCAGATCACAGTGGAGGAAGAAATCGGGAGGAAGCGATGGAAGATAATAGGACACACATTGCGGGAAATCATACGAAAAAAGGAATGCCGAGGAACATATTACGCAGAGAAATTGAGACTGTCATGAGAAGGATGAACAAAAGTTGGACAGAGCTGGAAAGGGCAGCCTAGGACACAGTTGTTTGGAGAATACTGGTCGGTAGCCGATGCTCCATTGGGGGTAACAGGAGTAATTAGGTTCACTTGTTTTCATTTTCATCGCTTGATCATGCGTTGATGAATACTTTTACATCCTCTCTAAACAATAACAGTTTGGCTGGTATCATCGCCTCGAAATCACTTGGCCGTCAGTCTTCGTCGTCAATTTTCGACATTTCTTATTTCTTCCGTCACTAAAGCTCCAGGGTGGTTGTCTGCAAGTGACTGTTTGTTAATGAAGAAAGTAGAGCAGAATTGAGACGTCATTGTGAGTGTGATAGATATTGTCAGCAAACTGCATAGAAAACCGAATAGTTCACCGCAGCAACGAACATATAGGCGGTATACATGTTCACTACAGTCTAGGCAATATGAAAAGCTCTGTAAAGGTCGGGTTTGACTAAGTGCTACAGTGCTACACTGCTCCAGTAGCCAACGAATATTCACACACATGGTCCTCAATAAAACGACTAGTAACTGTGAGAGGATTGCAGAGACCTAAATAGCCGAATCGCATCAGATACCTCATGTCAACATTTTTACAAACATCATACAGGGTTTAGCCAAATTTATTAGGATTAACATCACAATACTATAGTAGCGAAGGAAGATACTCCTGAAAAAGATATAACTCCGTCGTTTAAGTTATTCAGGTTTCCTGCTCACACCAATCGGTCTGAGAAATGTGATATGAAAATTAACATCACGGACAAATGACTGAGAGGGTAACTTTTTATATAAGGTTATACTGATTATTGGCTCATCGTCAGTACTGACTTAAAATCAAATAAGGAAAATGTAGGCGTTGTTTTAGAGTGGTCAGAGTAAAAAGGAACTTATATTGCCTTCTTCTTAAAAAGACTCGTCCTCACAGAGGTGAGATACATTATTTCCATGCAGATACTTCTTGTAGTTCACCTTAACATTCAGCATTTATGAAATACATTGCAAGGCAAGGTATTCATGGTCTATACATATCCCTAGTTACTGATTAATTCATTGTTAGCTAAAGCTGATAGACATTCAACTAGAGATATCCGTCAGAACAACTTTGTATCGCAGTTCACCAGTAATAAACATATCAAAGGTCTTGGATATTAGATAGCGGATGTATTATCTCGATTCGAAGCGGTGATAATCCATTTCTTGTACATAAACTGTGAAGATTCGAGAAAACACCACAAAGAAGACCAGATATGATAAAATCGCGCTTAGCGAAGAACACTAGTTTCGAGCTAAATAGCTACAATTACCTATTGAGGGTAGTTGTGTGAAATGATCAAATCAGCACTGTAACCTTCTGCCTTCGAAGGTCTGAGAAAACCTAAGTAAAATAATCTTATAATTTCATCTCATCTGGGCAGAACAGCTACTAGCAAACCAACAAATACTACATATATTTCACCTATTTAAAAAAAGAGGTCCGCAAGCAGCTAAGAAGGGTTTTGATGTGCCGACATCCAAATGGTTACCGATATACTGGCTCACCCGTCGGAGTTTTCTTAGAACAAAATGCACCTTCTCCTCATCTTAACGCAGAATTTGTAGGTCTTTTACCGCATTTCAGTTGTCTTCTTACTTCATTTGCATGCAAATACAGATTCGAAAAGCTACCAGCAACCTTACTAATAGCTGCTATTACAGTCGAAACATTGACCAGACAAACCCAAGACTTAGATACATACATTAAAATTCTGGTCTTTTAAAATCTTTCATGGTGTTTGTATTTAGGAGAGAACTAAAGACCTAAGTTTTTTGGGTAAATTAAACCTTATCAGTCAGGCTAGAGGTTTAGTAGTATAACCATTCGCATCGCCCTGCAAATTTACTGCAAACTGGAAGCGTACATGCCAAATTAAGCCGAATGATATAAAAATTTCCATGATACTGCCAAAGACATGATGGTAAACATAACATTTATTCCCAACTAACAATTTGTTACCTGAGGTATATCAATTTGCGGTTAGGATCAAATTTTTAGAAATGCTACTACAAGATTTTTCAAGTTTCGTATGTAGAGTTATATATCCATGCATATCACTGTTATAAGACCCAAGTTGGTCAATAGGTAGCTTGGAGGTGATAAGTATAGATAGCGTTTAATCCGGATGAAGACTAACTTTCGCGAACATCAACCGAGCGACCATGTGTTCTTCCATCATC